AACTACAATGGCATTTGATTGGACAAAAATACAATCCTGGACTCGGATTGGCCAAAAAGAACCAAACGGCCGCAGTCATTTTGACCAGCAACAACGGGGCTTGACACCGGTATCGTATATTGAGCATTCGTTAGTTCTTGTACAACGCTCCTATCTCTATTGCATCGCCTACTCGGGCAGAATCATCTCGTCTGTGAGAGGCGACGGCAAGTATGTGTCAAACTTGGCCGCGAGCTGCTGCTTTTTGGTGAGGATTTCACCACGCGAGCTCGTAATGTCATTCCGGACGTCGGCCACGTTGATCACGTCCATAAAGTGCGCCAGCAGCGGCGCCTTCACCGCGCTGCGCTCGTCGTCACCGTGGTACCGGCAGTCCATGCGCAAAAAATCGTGAATCGCAAACGCATAATGATGCACGACAGCGAACACGAGCATCTCGACGCAAATGACAAAGTCGCTCAGCGCCGACGCGATCGCACTCGCGGTCCAGCAGTCGGGGCAGCCAATGTTCCAGTCGGCGCTAATGACGCCGACTATCTCAAGGAGCGTGATGAGCATGCTCTGCCAGTACGTGAAGAAGATGATCATCTTGATGGCCAAGAATTTCGGCAGCGGCTTCATTGGAATGAGCTCGTCGACTGTGCCAAGGTAAAAGAGCGTGAGGCAGTAGAGCGCCCACGACTGCGAGAGCGTGAGTACAAAGCAGAGGTACCCGTACGCACGGAGCGGGTTGAGCATCTCGCCTTCGCCGTAGACGCCAAGGAGCGACGAGACGAGCGTAATGAACGACGCAGCGAGCTTCACTGGAATGTACTGCAAAATGCCGATCGCGGTCAGGCGCACAAACTTGTTGCCCATGGGCCATGGCTTGATGCAGTACTGGACGCCGGCCAAGTGCCGCACTTGCTTCTTGCTCCGGAGCGTGTTGGCCAAGACCGATTGGCCGCCAAGGTACACGACGAGAAAGTAGTAGAACGAGTGCAGTGCAAAGGCCTCGTAGCAGTCGCGGATCGTCTCGAAAATGAGCTTGTGCTGGTTGAAGACGAGCGCGAGGTACGAAGTGACGGCGTAGATCGGGACCATGAGCAAGATGCGGAGGATGTACTTGCGCACGCCCACGACCGGGTTGCACGTCAAGTGCGTCCAGATCTCCCAGCCCGAGAGCAGCACCGAGAGAAGCGTGAAGATGGCCGAGATCGCGTACCCGAGCGTCTCGACGCGCATGCCCAGAACCAGAGAAAGATCCGTTGCCGCTTGCAGCCGGCCGCGTGGTGCCACAAGGCCATTGGTCGAGTATCGACCAATCCTCATCGAGTTGAATCGGAATTGTGCCCAATGGCATTCGAGAGGCTATATTCGAGATGCCGGACGATCCGCATACGGTCCGGATAAAAAGGCGGATGGTCCGATTGTCTGGACACGACGACCACTCAAGCAAAGGGTACAATGACACTTCTCTCTCCTAGTCGTTCGGTTAGTCACTGATAACGACGACGATATAGTCGATATGCGAGCAAACCAACCACAAGAAAACAGAGCCATGGCAGCTGAGCCGACCGTCGAGCCGCCCGTGAACTCCGCCATTCGGTCAGCCGCAAGCGCAAGCGCGGCCATTGCGTCCAGCGTGGACGATCAAACGACCCAGTCGCGTCATGCGTTCCCTTCTACCGTCGTCAACGAAGATGACGCCCTCCAAGGAACTGGTACTTGTGCAAAGTGCAAAGTGCAAACTCAAGCGAAACATTCTCGGCTAGATCCTCAGGAGGGACAGACGTTTGACGACGCCATCAAGTTTGTCGAGGCGATGCGCCGGTATGGCCACGAGCGCGGCTTTAACGTCATGAAGGACGGCAAGGTCTTCAACGCGCGCCACCCGCACCCCGAGGACGTCCGCCGAAACGGGTCGATCTGGCGCTGCAACCTCTACTGCAACTACAAGATCAAGACGGACGCGTCCGACCCGCGACTGCGGTCCGTGTGTCCGTGGTCGGTCAAGTTTGCGTACAGCAAGAAGGCCAAAAGCTACGTCGTGGTCTCGGTCGCCAACGAGCACAACCACGTGACCGCGCCCGTGCAGGAGTTGGTAGCGCTACTCCGCGCCAAGAAACAGTGGCCCGAGTACGTCGAGCACACGTGGCAGCAGCACGTGGCTGCCACGGTTCGCACGCCACACAGCGTGACGCTGGGTAGCGACGACAAGTGGCATGTCTCGATCACGACCGAGCATCGCAGTGCCCTGAGCGTTGTGACGACGACGACGACGACGCACATTGTCACGCTACACGACGCAGCCCACGGCGGCATCCCGACATGCAACTGCGCCATGTTTCAAGCGCTCTTTATTCCGTGCTCGTGCATTTGCTCGGTACACGACGCCCTCACGACGCCACGACTCATTTTGCGCTTTCACTAGGTGCTCCAACACACCAAGAAAGTTGTGTTTGCGATCGCCAACCTCCATTCGCGCTGGCACTTGTCGTCGCATGCGCTGTATGATGCCGCGCTGCAACGCATCGAAGATGACGCTGCCGACGTCGACATGTTCGGCGCGCCGGTGCCCCAGAACCAGGTCCTCGTGCCGTCGCCGGTACCAGGGCTCTTCTTCAGCAAGGCCGAGTACGACGCCATCGACGTGCCAGAAGACAAGGCACAGCGTCTCTTGCAACTGCGCGCGACTTTTGGCGAGGTCGAAGCTGCCATCTACGCGGACGAGAACCTCTGCCGCCTCTTCCAGCAAACCATGGCGAGCTTCGCCATGGCGATCCAAGAACAGAGACGTGACGACGACGCAACCGACTCGACGACGCCAAGCACGACGACGGCGACTGATCGGTACAATGACAGTACACTGTAGCATGAGGCCAATCTCAAGCAAAGCATGTAGACCGGCATCGCCAAAACCACCAGCGACCAAGCGCCACAAGACCAGCAGCTTTCGCGTCTAAGAGCATATATGACGATCCTGGTCCTTCAGGTCTGATATGCTTGTAAGTGATGGAGCGAAAACGCAGCGGCGACAGGAACGGTGCCAGTGGCTACGAGCTCGGGACTACGTAAGCTTAGTATGCAGAAATGGCACTGTAGCACATTCGGCTCCGACGACTACAATCACGTGTCGCCAAGCCCACGTTATGCCATCCACCTCGCCGAGCAAGGGCATGCGTACGATCAATGCAGTGTAATTTGGACCAAAGACAATGCAGCGAGGCGTCCGGTGCATCGTGAAAGCACCGACGACCACGAGCACGAGACGGGCTACCTGGCGGCGGCCATCATGAAGCGCCGTGGCGACTCTGGCCTTGGCCTGTCATTACGATAGTAGCTACATTTCTACAAACGCTTCCTAGAAGACACCCAATTATAGTACCGATGTCGGGCACGGCGACCGCCCGAGCTTACTTTTCGAGGTCGGGCGTCAACAAGAGCGCGGTTGCTTCCGTCGCGGCGGGCGGAGCGACGGCTTCGGGGGCGGTCGTCGGCGACTCGTACTCGCGCTCGAGCTGCTCGAGCGGAATGAACGTAAACTTCTTCGTGAGCACCGGAAGAGCTTCTTCAAGGACCGCGACGGACCACGGGCGGTCGTGCACAATGAGGACACTGCCGTTGCGCGTCAGCGCCTTGATGTGCCATGCGTTGATCTTGGAAATGCGCACTTGGGCGTCGTGGGGGTAGACGCTGCCCATCGCAAAGCGGTACCCGTACTTTTCAGCGACTTGCACCATGTCCTTGTTGAACCAGCCCGAGCCGGGGCGAGCCCAGCGAACGCGCCTGCACAAGACACATGAGCCCATGTACGAAGCAGAGGCGGTACGTACGGCTGGTACTTGAGCAGCGTCTCGTGGCAGTGGAGCAGCTTGCGCTCAAAGACGCTGATTTCATCGCGGATGCTGGGCTCATCCGCGACAAAGTGGTTGCCAATCACGTGGCCTTCATCGACAATGCGCTGGAGGATGTGTTCGCGGCCCGCCACGTTGGACTGGATGATGAAGAACGTGGCCTTGACGTTGTTCTTCTTGAGCGCGTCGAGGATCAGCGGCGTGTTGTTGCTCGGCGCATCGTCGATCGTGAGCGAGACGACGGCGGCGTCGGTCTCGGCAAACCAGATCGCAGCCGGGTACCGGTTCCGGAGCCGGCGCATGAGGAACTTGGGCTGCGTGTAGACCGCCGCCAGCGCCAGCGCCGCAAAGGTGAAGACGCCGATCTCGGCCCAATGCAGCCACGTGAGCGTCCCAAGGAGCCCCGGCGGCAGCGTCACCGTCGGAATCATCGTTGTCGTGTTGCCTGCCATCTCAGCTGCCGACTTTGAAATGGCTCTGGACCCACCCCAACGTATATACAGCCGATACAAAACCCAAGAGAACGGCAACGTCAATGAATTGAAATTTTCGACCCGATACAAGCGCCAAGAGGCCGGCGCCGAATTTAATTCGAATGATATCCATCTAAGCCGCACAAATGCATATTTGATTCGGACGTTGAACACCTTGCGCTTTGTATGCAGCGTTGATAAGACGCAGTTGCCGGGTTGTGGCGGCGTCACGCATGTCGAACGCTCATGGCGACGCGACGCATGGGCAGCGCTGGAGCATGGCGAAGACGATCGAACGAGATGCGAGGACATGAGATCATGGCGTCGGCGAATACGCATGTTCCATGCATGGTTGGAAGGATGCGAGGATGGAAGCTTGGCATGCGAATCTCTTGCACCTCAAGGAAGTCTCGAATGGAAGGAACGTGGCAGCTGCTGCTGGTAGCAAGAGGCCTCCCGGCTCACGGGGCAGCGATGGGCCGAGCCGTGGGCGGTTGTGCATGACAACCGAGGGCTTCCTTGGATGTCCCGCGGAATGCACAGTGGGCACGGCAGGAAAGATAGTTTAGCAAGCAGTTGCCAATCCACACTTGGTGCTCGAGAAGTGTTTTCTGAGAATCGGAATAGTCCAAGCGGTGATGGAGCGCATGGCCTCGGAAGGAAGGAGGAATGTGGAGTAATACGCATCAAGAAGGGATAGTTCACGAGTTTAGAGGAACTTGGAGACGCCGTCCTGGATCGAGCTGAACGAGAGCTCCGAGGCGTCCGTGGCGCTCAAGTAAATACCGACGCCGACAAGACCACGCTTGATGGCTTCCTTGGAGCTGGCGTACAACATCTTGCTCTTGACGCGGGCCGTATCGGGCGACCACGAGATGAACACGAGCTTCGACGTCGGGCGACCGTCCTTGGTCGTGAAGTCGAGGTCGATCAGGCCGTACCGGCACTCGTTCGTCGTCGCGTTGAGCTTGGCGGCAAAGTCATCGTACGTCTCCGAGCGGTCGCCACGGTGCTCAATGACGATCTCCGAGTCGCCCTCGATCTTGTAGATGAAGTAGCGGAAGTTGAACGGCGCCTTCTGGAGCTTGAAGTCGTTGAATTCCGTCACGACGTCGTCATGGACACCCACACCCGAGCTCTACGCAGATGCACACATAAGCCATCTCGTTCTGCCACGGGGCTCGTCATGCTGCCATGCGCTTCACGGAAGCGCATCGAGAGCACGATGATGTGGATCCTCGTACCATAGTTTCTTTGAATTGACTGGCACGAAGGCAAAAATCGAAGTGACCGTAGTGTGAGGTCTTTTTGGGGGCAGAAAAAAACAGGGGCCATCGACGACGAAAATCCGCCGTAGGTTCCCCGCGCTATGCGGATTTGGCCCGCTTGGGAGAGGCCGACCAAATTGCGGCATTTGATTGGCCAACGCTTTCTTTTTAAAAATACGCACGAGCGACATTCCTGCGCGGTATTAAATTGCGCCAACACTCCCGGCTAAATGGACCCAACTGCCATCGGATCTTGATGGGCCTCCTGCCATGTGCACACCAACGGCAACGATTGGAACGCCGCATGGGCGCTTTGATCCAGCGCACGTCGCGAAGAACACGGACGTGCGGTCGATTGATCTGGCTTGTTGGACTGTGCCCCGAAAGGAACAAGTGGACGTCAGTCAAGCTGTAGCAATGAGATGCAGACGATGGACTTTGCCATTGCCTTTGAAGTACACTGTACTAGTATGTGGATGCGTCAAGCCCAGGAGTGGGAATGAGTGCGTGTCTGCTGCATTGGTGTCGGTTCCAGTCCTCCGTGGCAACATCCGCGGCCGTGCTTATGCAGCAGAGCGGCGTGTTTTTATCCTTTCGTCGTGGCAAGAATTTGACGACCACCTTGCGCGGCAATTTTAATTGCGGCAACTGACGCGCGTACTGTACGAAGGCGGCGACGACGACGTGTAATGGCGACGCGCGCGCCTCTACTGCGAGTACGCTATGCGAACGCGCGCGAGTTACCTTGGTGGCGGCGATGGCAGCCGCAGTAATTGCCTGTACGCGCAATGCATCGAGGCACCAATGCCCCGCGCAGCCAAGCAGTGGGCTAGATGCTGCGAAGTTGCCCTCGGAACCAACTTCAACTTGAACGTTTCAGGCGCCTTGGAGCTGTGGAGCTCCGTGCGTTGCGCGCCTTTAGAGTAGAGGACCGTATGTGACCAGCGCCAGCGCAGGCCATCGCAGACCGTGACGACCTCGTGAGTTCGAAACCATCGCAGCACCAAGATGGACGGCAAGCTGCGAAAAGCCGCCGCCCATCGCACGCAAGACCGTGCTCCTTCAGCGACGTGGGTACTCTATATGTTTGGCATCGGCTCATTCGACGATTGCTGCGGCAGGCACCCTCCTGGCCGCCTTTGCTCACTCGATGCGACCAGGCTTCATTCCGAAGTAACGCACATACATGTATAGCCATAGTCAGCAGAACATGTATGTCGCGCGCCCTCTTCTCCAAGCCTTCATCTCACGAAGCGCAGGAATAGCCAGCCGTAACGACGCGCAAAAGCCCCCTTGTGGGGATCGACGACCTAAAGGCGATGCTGGGGCTGACGGAGCGATCACGTCACGCACGCACGAATTGCCACGTCAGCAAGTCGACACTCCTTGGCCGCAACGGCGCGAGCGACCAACGTTGTTGAACGATGGACCAAGCGCCAAGATCCAGCGGCAAATTCGCTTATCCAGTACATCTCGCAGAAAGATTGGGCGTTTCAAGCGTGTTCCTTCGCTGGACCCCTTCCCCTCCCCAGGTTCTCCCCACAACGGAAGTGACCTTCCACACTTGCTTTGCCAACATATGCATTTCAAAAGGTTATCTCTCATAGATAGTCATGTTCAAATTAAACCTGGCTCATCCATTCTTCTTTTGTATGTTTTTATGGAGGGTATTGGATACGACAGACATTGTATCCGGACGTCCCGCCCATACTCAAGCGCAGTCATTTTGGCTTTGGACCTCAGATTCACATGGCCGACGAAGCGAAGACGCTCGACTTTGCGTGGCTCCCGGCGGGCACGGAAGCGCTCGCGGACGGCGAGTACGATGCCATTGTCCTCGGCACGGGCCTGAAGGAGTGCATCTTGAGCGGCCTCTTGGCGACCAAGGGCCAGAAGGTGCTGCACATTGACCGGAACGACTACTACGGCGGTGACTGCGCGTCCTTGAACTTGACCAACCTCTACGGCAAGTTCCGCAACGGCGCCGAGCCGCTGACGGGCCTTGGCTCGAACCGCGACTACAACATCGATTTGATCCCGAAGTTCATCATGGCCTGCGGCAAGCTTGTCAAGATGCTCTTGCACACCAAGGTCACGCGGTACCTCGACTTCAAGAACGTCGATGGCAGCTACGTGTACAAGGGCGGCAAGATCTACAAGGTGCCTGCCACGGGCGAAGAAGCGCTCAAGTCGTCGCTCATGGGCATCTTTGAGAAGCGCCGCTTCCGCAGCATGCTCATGTACATTTACAACTACGAGGAAGATGACCCGTCGACGTTCGATGGCCTCGACCTCAAGACGCAGCCGATGAGCGACCTCTACGCCAAGTTTGGTGTGGATGCCAACACGCAGAGCTTCACGGGCCACACCATGGCCTTGATGCGCGACGACGAGTACCTTCGTCAGCCCGCGATTGAAGCCGTGCGTGCTATCAAGATGTACGCGTACTCGCTTGAGCGCTACGGCAAGAGCCCGTACTTGTACCCTATTTACGGTCTTGGTGGTTTGCCCGAAGGCTTCTCGCGCCTCTGTGCCATCCACGGCGGTACCTTTATGCTCCACCGCAGCGTCGACGAAGTGCTGATCGAAGACGGCAAGGCGTGGGGCATCCGCTGCGGCAACGAAGTCGCCAAGGGCAAGATCATCATTGGCGACCCGTCGTACTTTCCCGCCGAGAAGACGCGCACGACGGGCCAAGTCGTGCGCTCGATCTTCATCTTGCGCCACCCGATCAACAACACGGCCAACTCGGAGTCGTGCCAGATCATCATCCCGGCCGCGCAGGCCAACCGCCACAGCGACATTTACGTGTGCGTCGTCTCGTTTGCGCATTGCGTCGCGGCCAAGGACACGTACATTGCGATTGTGAGCACGACGGTCGAGACGTCCAACCCGCTCGCGGAACTCGAACTTGGTATCTCGCTCCTCGGCGAGTACGTCGACCGCTTCGACTCGGTCTCGGACCAGCTCGAGCCGATTGGCGATGGCAAGGCCGACAACTGCTTTATCAGCGCGTCCTACGATGCGACGAGCCACTTTGAGACGACGTCAGACGACGTCTTGAGCCTGTACAAGCGCATTACGGGCGAAGAACTCGACATGAACATCAACGCCGACTCGACGGACGCGGACCAGTAAGCGCGCCACTGCATCTTTTAGGTGTATTTCTCTTTCTACTCTATCCCAATCAGTTCACATCCCGTCATGTCATTGTTGCGTCTTCCGTGCAAGCGACTAGTGCACCCTTGGACGCGTCCTGGGCCTAGTCGCTGTAGCTGTAGCGATCTTGATATCCTTAGAGTACACCCTTGTTGCGATGAAGATCCATTTGGCATCTCGCCGCCTGCGCTGGGGCGTGCAGATACTCGGTTGAAGCACATTCACTAGGCGCATCATGCACTGTTCTTGCTTCCAGCCATCAAGATGACCATGCTAGCAAGAAACATAGCATCATCATCATCGTCCCATGCTTCTCCGTTTCGGCCGTTGCAGGACAAGAAGCATGGAAGCAGCCCTCGTGGGCGGGTAATCTTAGCGCCCAATCGGAATGGTCGGGCTTGTGATTCGCGCAAAAGGGATCTATTTGGCCAATCACGATCGCGTGTTGGCGGTGCGGTGACCTTGTATGTCAGTTTAGAATTTGCTTCGGACGGACACAGATGGCCCAACGCTCGTCGACACGCTCGCACCAAGCACCCGGCGGCAGCTCGCAGATGGGGTCGCTCATCTTTGGCGGCGGCGGCGATGAGAGTAACTTTGACGAGGCCCAGCGCAACCGCCGGGGCATCCGCTCGCAGCAGCGCCCCGAAGCCGACCAGAGCCCGCTCAACCAAGCGCCCGCGGGACAGGCCCCGGCGCGCCAGCAGCAGCACCAACACCACCACCATCAGCAGCAACAGTCGCAGTACCAGCAGCCGCCGCAACAACAGCAGCAGCAACAACAACAGTACCAGCAACCGCAGCAGCAACAACAACAGCAGTACCAGCAACAGCAGACGCAAAACTACCAGGAGCCACCGCAACAACAGTACCGCCAGCAGCAGCAACAGCAGTCGAGTGCGCCCTTTACTCAAGGTGGTGGTAACGAGTCGAGCGGTCGCGTCTCGTCGAACCGGTATGCGTCGGGCGTCTCGCAAAACACAGGCAACGTCATTACCGATCGCAGCACGACCCGTATCCACGCACCCCCTGGCGGCGCGTCGTCGTTCCGCTTAGGGTAGTCTCGAGAGATCGCATCATGCGATGTAGCATAGGATAACCGGCATGGTTGCCGCAATCAACACGAATGAAGCCGGTGAAGTCTCCTTTCGCTCACCTCCGAGCTCGGCTGGCCTCGAGGTACAGGCCATGTCTCGCTCAGCGCGACCGGATTGGCCAAACAGGGTCCATGATTTTAGACCCCACGTTGTCCACCACGTGAAAAATATCGGGCCTTTCCGAAATCAATACAATCGTAGAGTTATAAATAGTTTCTCACCACTTGGTGAGAAATACAAATCGTTTTTCACGAGTGAGGGCAATACGAATCTGTCCGAATGGTGTTGTGGCGACGAGGCCTCCATCGTGGCAGCCAGGTCGCGACGTTTGCGACCAAGCAGTACAAGTCCAACTACGAGAAGCAGATCGTCATATATGCCAGCGAGGTCCCAGTCATCTGTGGCGTGAACCCGTTCCGGTGCATCTCGGACGTCTTCCTTTCCACTTGGAAGCGCACGGACAAGGCCCTTGTCCAGCGGCTCGAGTCGCAGCTTGCGCCTGAGATTCCCGCGACGATCGAAGAGCGTATTGAGCAGCTCGTGCAAGAAGAGCCTGTCGTGCAAGCGCTACTTGAAACACCTTCCGTGACGACCGAGGACGTCCAGCGCGTCAAGGTCCAAATGAAGAAAGAAGTCGAAGCCTTGCCGCAGTACACGCCCGATGAGAAGGTCGAGCTCACGCAAGCACTCACGTCCACGATCCAAACGCAGTTTGGCATTGCGCAGGAAGTACATGCACTCACGACGTACGAGACGACGACGTCCAAGGTCGTGGAGCAGCGCAACGCCAAGTTCTGGTCCAAGCGCCTCGGACGCGTCGAGTGCTTCGACGGCGGCTACCGCAATGTGCTTGTCGGTGGTCGCATTGATGGGCTCGCGGGCGAGAGCGTCATCGAGGTCAAGAATCGCATGACCAAGTTTATGACGCCGCTGCCCAAGTACGACGTGTACCAGCTGCAGACGTACCTGTACCTTCTCGACTCGGACGAAGGCGAGATTGTCGAGCACCTCAAGAAGAAAGCCGACGCGAGCAAGTCGACCAAGATCTCGCGGGACCCGGCGCTTTGGGACGAGAACGTTCTGCCGTACATTGCTCGGTTTGCCCACTCGCTTGGGCGCTTTATGGACGCGCCGCAGGAGACGCACGCGTCCTTTCTCAAGCAGTCGGCCGACGGGCGCAAGCAAATCATTCGATCGTTCTGGATAGACGCCCCAGGGACGCTCGCACAGTAGAGTTGGCATCATAATGGAAGCCAATCAACACGACGGGCTGCCGGCAACGTTGCTTGTGTCGGGGTAGAGAGCGCCAGCTTTTATTCGCAATTGACGTCGACAACGACCTCTCCAGATACGTTTCTTCGTACTCTACCGTGTGAGAAGCAACTCCGCCGAAATGGCAGTATACCTTCATCATCAAACCGCCGCCGACGAGATCCTCGGATGCGTTATCCGTGTACCTCGCTTCTTTGTTTTGCGATTTGAGGGAATCTCAGCACCATAGCAACCTAATGTGCCACGACTATTAGATGCTCCAATGCTGTGACCTTATCTCGCTCGACGGGTCTATCGTTGCTGCTCACGATGTCATCCTCATGGCCGAACTTGATGCGCGCGCGCTTGGGCAGCGGAATATCCGGATAAGTACGGTATGGTCGTGCTGTTGGATATTTTTCTGTCTTCTTTTAAAAATCAAACCTTTTGACATCCTATTTGTATGTGGAAATAAAAATATGGGACGCAAGGGAGAAATACTATGTTCGAATCCCGCCCGGGGACACCACCTTGCATTAGTTTTCACATCGCTTGGGAAAATGCGACCGGACGAGCTGCCCGCGACCATGTACTTTGCCGCACTCGGCAACCAAGCCTCTGCCATGGCGATGGACGACCTGGTCATGGACGACGACCAAAGCGGCGAAGGTAACCAGGTCGAGCTCGGCGCCAGCGGCCTCCGCGCGACGCGCCAGGCCGACGACATGGACGACTTCGTCAAGATGGACATTACGCTGCAGATGGAGCTGCTCCATAGCAAGACGGCCGAAGAGAAGGTACAGATCTACAAGGTCTACGTGAGCAAGCTCCTGCATGAGCTTGTCGCGACCGAGACGGCGTCCGAGGATCTCGAGTACGAACTCCAGCTCAAGAACGAACAGATCGCGCAGATGAGCCGAAGGATCGACGACCTCAACGTGCTCGAGACTGTCCAGGTAGATTTCATGCAAGGGGTGAACGGTGATGCTGATGCGCGCTGTAGACGATAACCGCCTTTGACGAGAGCGTCGACATCGAGGCGTACCTGAGCTCGCCCGCGGACCTCCGCAGCCTTTTCAAGCAAAAGGACGCCGAGCTCACGTTCTTTCGCAGACGCATCAAGCGAGCCGATGACCAAAACGAAAAGCTGCAAGCTCGTCTGAGCGAGATGGACCAAGAGCTCTCTCGGGCGACGATCGTCAACCGACAGCTCAAGACGGACCTCCAGAACGAAGTCAAGCGGCGGGAAGAGTCCATCAAGAAGACAAGCCTCCTCCGCGAGAAGCTCACCGACTTGCGCAAATCGTCGTCCCCGAAAAAGGCTGCCCCCGAGACCCTCGAGCTCCAGGAGAAGCTGGTCGCCGCCAACGAGATCATTGCGCAGCTGCGGGCGTTTGCCGACGCCGACCAAGCGACCAAGCTCGCATACCACAATGAAGTGAACGCGCTCACAAGTCGCGTCGCTGAACTCGAGGCGTCCCACACTACCATGCGAGATACCTTGGCGTCGAAAGACCACGAGCTTCAACAGCTCCATGACGAGGCCAAGATGCATGTCGATGCGGCCGAAAATCGCCTTCGCCAAAGCGAAGTTGTGCGCCGCACGCTGCACAACCAAGTATGATTTACGTTTCCATGCTCCTTTCAGCACTCATGGAGAGCTGTAGGTCATGGAACTCAAGGGCAACATCCGCGTCTTCTGCCGCGTGCGACCGCCGTTGCCGTCGGAGCGGGCGCCGCGCCGCCCGCTGGACGAGGTTGGTGAAAACGAAAAAGAGTGTGGCAGGGCGATACTGTTATGCGTAGGTGTACAGCTTTCCTGACTATGACAAGGAGAAGAAGAAACTCGTGCTTGTCGCCGATGCGCGCACGCACACGAGCTACACGAGCCAGGAGACGCCAGGCGCGAAGAAGTGGCCGTTTGAGTTTGACCAAGTGTTTGACTGGACGGCGACGCAAGAAGATATGTTTGCCGAAGTCGCAGCGCTCGTGCAGTCGGCCGTCGACGGCTACAACGTGTCGATTTTTGCTTACGGCCAGACAGGGTACGCACTTTTCATGTAGTGATTGAATCTCAAAATTATCGTAGCTCGGGCAAGACGTACACGATGCAAGGCGACGAAGCCGCGCTTACAGACTTTAGCGCGAGCCATCTCGTCAACAACGCGAACCTCGGCATTGTCGGCCGCACGATGACGCACATCTTTGCGACATGCAAGAACCAAGCGCAGCACGGCTGGGAGTACACAATCGGCTTTGAGATGTATGAAATCTACAACGAAAGCATCAAAGACCTCATGGCACCGCCGGGCCAGGTACACGAGCTCTTTTTCTTGAAGGGATTGATGGCAATGATATTGTGTAGCCATCCAAGGAGGTCGGTGCACTCCTCGACGGTGACGGCAACGTGCACGTGACCAACCTCCACGTTGTCAATGTCCAAGACGAGCGCCATGCGATGCAGCTCCTCAAGCAGGCGACGGCGCGCCGCAGTATGAAGAAGACTCAACGCAACGACGTTTCCTCGCGAAGCCATTGTATCACGACGCTGCGCCTCATGGGCACGCACACGCCGTCGGGCAGCGTTCGCACCGGCGCTGTGTACCTTATTGATCTTGCGGTAGGCTCTCGCTTGTGACCTGGATGATCGTCACATGGTTGCTGTAGGGCTCGGAGCGCTTGAAGAGCTCGGGCAGTGGGAACGACCCCGTGATGCTCAAGGAGACGCAGGTATTATCATCGACGTTCAGCATACGATACGACGGGTTTTTCTTGTAGAACATCAACAAGAGTCTCGCCGCGTTGGGCAACGTCATTTCTGCGATCGCCAGCAAGGTTTCCGCAATCACAAAGCGAATGAAAGGTGGCTCATGCATCACTGAGCGTAGAAGTCGCACGTGCCGTTCCGGGATACGAAGCTGACCTATGTATTACAAAACACGCTGGGCAAGGACAGCAAGACGCTCATGATTTGCACGCTATCGCCGCTCGAAGAGCACCGCGAAGGTACTTTTGCCATCTCTGCTGTGCGCTCTATCAACAATGCAATTGTGTAGAGAGCTTGAATACCCTCCGGTTTGCAAAGAAAGTCAACGCGTGCGAACTCGCCGTCGCTGGCAAGTAATAATGACAAGATAGTCGTATCTGTGGTATTTTGTATCCGCTTGTGTCAACCAACTACGACTCGAGGACCTCCACAATGTCTTCGTGACCAAACGCCTCGGCAAAGTCCCGCGCCGTGTACCCGTCCTACGCCACTGGCTTCAGCTGCTGGCGAATCGTCAAGTTGTACCTTGTTTCTGATCGTCTTGTCGGCCTTGGGCGCAAGGATCTCGACAATATCCAAGTAGCCTTCTTGGCAAGCGACCATGAGCGCCGTCGCACCGTGCTACACATATGCGCTCAAGTCTTTGATGATGGCTCGTAGTTATAGCTACCTCTTTCTCGCAGAGATCCACATTGGTCGCCGGGTGCATTGCGAGAAGCTCAACAATGTCGGCGTGGCCGCTCATTGTGGCTGAAATGAGCGCCGTGATCCCTTGCTGAATGAATCCATCAGTTCTCAAAGTCGGATGGTGGACGTACGCAGTCTTGCATGTTGCAGTCCACGTCCGGATGCTTCAAAAGGCGCTCGACAATGTTGGCGTGGCCGCCGTCCGCAGCGAGCATGAGCGCCGAAATGCCAAGCTACATCATATGAAGCTCTGCACGTTGGATCATGTCGTACTTCGTCCGTGACGTTGCAATCGATCGCGGGCTGCTCCAGCAAGAGCTTGACGACCTCCATTTGACCCGTGGTCGCTGCGACTAGCAGTGGCATGCCGCCATGCTACACGGGATTACTGGTCTAGGATACATTTCGGACGTCGTACGTACGTAAATGGCGGGGTGCTCGACGAGCAACTTGACGACGTCCAAGTGGTCCTCGCCCGACGAAAAGATCCAGGAGACAATCGCTTCCTGGCAGAGTTATCATCAATAGAAGTCACTTTGGTGCATCATCCTACCTTGTTGCTCTCGATATGGCGCTGGACGATGGGGTGCGCGAGCAGCGCACGAACAACGTCCACGTGGTTGCCTTCGCACGCCGCGTTGAGCGCGGTGCTTTCATCCTGCACCAGCGTGCATCAGCAAGTTGCACGCAACAATTCGCGTATACCAGAGATTGAAGGCCAACGTCAACGGACGGGTGCTGAAGGAGCGCGTGGACGACGTCGGCGTGCCCAGATTGCGCCGCCAACATGAGCGCCGAGAAGCCCGCCTATGTAGTTCATTCGACATTGCTCGATATGGAGATCATTCGCACGTTGTCTTGCATGTTGATTTGGACGTCAGCGTGTGCCAATAGCGACGTGACAATGTCGGTGTGTCCCTCTTCACACGCGAGCATGAGCGCCGTCGCCCCCATCTACGTCATGTTATTTAGCCTTGATGCAGAGACGGAATGATTCACGTTGTTTTGGGCGTTCGTATTGATGGTCTTGTGCTGCAGAAGCACGTCGACGATGCCAGCGTCACGGTTCAAGAACGACTGGACAATCAATGGCGTCCACCCATGCTAGCACGCATTAGCTTCCATGTCAACACAAGCATTGCGTATTACTTGGCATGCAAAGTTGATGTCGGCCGACGCGTCAGCCAAGGCGGCCTTGGCCTCGGCGACCGACGACGCATGCATCAACGGCGTCCAGCTCTTGATGTCAAAGACGTCGGCTGTCGGTGCACCCGCGGTCGTCGAGGCAAAGCGCATCGGCGCCGTGCGCATGGGCATGAAGCAGGCGTCGCCGAAGCGCTTGGGTGCATGCGACAGCGGGCGATGAGCGGCGACCGCGCGGGCAGCAGCGCGAGCAGCGTGGCGAAGCATGATCCTTCGACGAAGCAATCGCAAATGATCGTCTCCGCCAATCACAAGCACCCAGTATAAAGCAATATAAAGCGTTTTATTGATTTTTTAAATGCTCGATATAAATATCAAATCGCAACGGCAATCTCATGGCGTCACACCAGGAACAACGTCGCTATGGGCTCTGTCCATGCTCAGTCTCTCGGCCTCACCAAGCTGGCTCCACTTCCTGGCTCCGACGATCGACGCCGATTTGTCGAGTTATGACAAGCTACAATGCGCCGCGAGGGTGTACTGTGTGGGTCTAGCTCAAGGGAACATCTCTTCGTCCAGCTAGAGAATTTTTTTGTTTGAAGCGCATGAATTGAAGTGCATCAAGAATTCATATTAGTACATAATGCGTTGTAGAAATGTAGAAATGGATGCAAGCGCGGGTGCTGCTGAAGCCAAATAGATACGAGGCTCACGGTGCCAATGGCACGAGCGCTCTCGGTGTCTTGGCGATGAGACCCGTCTTCAAGTGCACGGCAACCGAGATGTCCTTAAACGTTGTGAGGAGGTCCGTGTCGGATACCGCAGTCGTGTACGAGCCCTGGAGGTGAGTGGCAAGCGTCCGGAGCGCGGTAAAGTTGCTGTGGCCAAACCCGACGCACGAGCTTTGGAGTCGGTACTTGGCAAACTCGCTCGCAATACGCTGCGCCAAGGCCACGCCGTTCGCATTTTCATTCGGGTGCCCGTCCGAGAAGAAGAGCATGACAGGTGTGTAGAGTGTGTGGTCGTTGCGCGAGAGCACTTCGAGAGCACAGCGCAAGCCTTCGTCGTAGCTAGTCGTGTACCCTTGGAACGGAATCGGGATCGTCGTCGTTTGCGCCAACGGCTTGCCTTCGTAGACAATAGTGCCTTCGCAGCTGAACGTGATCACCGAGATGATGTCGGCGCAGCTGCGTGTTGCAGAAAGCTGCGCCACGTACGCGTGGAAGGCCACCATGAGGGCGTCCCAGTCGGCTCCTTTCATGGACCCGGACGCATCGAGCACAAAGATGTGGTGGTGGAGACCACTCGTCGCAAAGTGCTGGCAGTCAAACACGTGGCCTTGCACGAGCGACTGGCCACTCAAGAGCGTGCCGACGTCGGTGACAGGGGCATGCCACGCGTCCAAGGTGCAGTACGACGGTGATGGATTCTTGTCGTCCTTGTGGCTCGGTGCTTCGCACATGTACGGGCATAAACCGAACTGTTTGCGCTCGAGGGCGCTCATGACCGGGTCTTCCCATCCAGCAATCTCCCAGTACGTTGCATGGAGCACTTCGTCCATGGGTTGGTTGGGATCCCACTGGAGCGTCGCGGCGCAGTGGCGGCGCCCGCCGCTAGCTGCTTGTGTGCAGGCAGCAGCCGACTCGTGCTCGCACGGCATGTAGTGCACGTGACCACGACCCATCTTCGTGCAGAAGAACGAGCACATTTCGGCGACACCGGCGTCTCCCGCCGTGTACCATCGCCCGTCGACGTCGACTTTCGCCAAGTTGGAGACGAATGTCGTTTCTTGCATGTTGCCGTGCGACGTCTTGTGCTTGCCGCTGTGGCCGTACTCCTTCTCGCAGTAGTAGCCACAGCACGGGCAGCGCGCGGCGCACGTGTGCACGGCCGCGTCGCAGCGATGGTCACCGTCGTGCTCGAGGCGATCGGCGTCCAAGCGGATGCAGCACGTTTTGCGCGACCCGTTCATGGCTTGGTGCGTGTACTCGAACTCGTTCAACTTGTTTTTGAACTTCTTGATCGTCTTCTCGAGCTGGACCTTGACCTCGCACATGCCCTCTTCATTGCAAATGGCGCGACACCAATGGTCTTGTCCGCACGAGTGGAGTGCGACTTCGTGAAAGTGGTCGACCGAAGCACACGTGTTGCCGCAGCCGTCGTAGCTGCAGCGATGCTGGCACCGGCTCGTGCCGCACGAGTGCTGCTCGTGCGACTCGACGAACGAAAGCCGGCAGAGGTGCGAGCAGCTCGGCGCCGAGCACTGGGAGGGGCAAAAGTGCAGCTCGACGCTGCAGACATGTGCTCCGTCGTGCTCGACAGACCGATGGCAGACCCCATCGCAGTTGCGTGCCTCGGCGTGCTTGCACACCTCTTGGCACGTGTGGTTCTTCTGTTTGCAGTTGCAGGCGCCCGTGTGGCCGGCCACCTCACCGCAGGCCAGCGCGCTGTCACACTCGCAGTGGGCACAGAAGCCCTCGCAGCGATGGCAGCCACCGCAGTCGTGCTCGCCCTCGTGCAAGAAGGACACGCAGCACGTGAGTTTGCACTCCTTGCACGCGTGATCACAGCGGCGGAGAAGCTGGTTCATCTTGGAGGCGCACGCGTCCAGCTCGTCAATCACATCGCGGTGGGTATCCTTCATCGACTTGAGCCAAGCGCGGACACGGTGAATGCGGCGCCACACCACATACTTCCAGAGCACGTCGAACCGCGCTTCGTGCGCAACCCGGCGTGGTGCACCGATGTGGGTCATGTACTGCTGCAGGTGTGTCGACAGCGTCGTCTTGGCCGTCTCCAAGTTGGCCGACGCGGCGATCGGGCCGTCAAAATCCACATTCAGCACAATGGTGGCATCAAGGGGCACCGCCGCCGTCTCGAGCTCGGTCATCCCCATCAATTGCCGCTGACTCGCCATGGCAGCATCGTCGTCAGGTCCCAGCGACGTCACGTTGTTGTCTTCATCGAGCTGGCCGTATCGCAGAGCGTGGCGGACTTGTTGGCAACCCCGTGCTTTTTTCACAGCCTGGACGTTCTCGTCCATGGACCGCCAGTCGCGCCGCGCCACCTTAGCGAGTACAATCGCAAGGACTTCGTGGCAGTCGGCGCCGTTTGTGTACGCCTTGTCGTCCCACGCCTCGGCCAAGGACAAGGCGGCGTCGGCAAGCCCCTCGTAGTAGCCCCGTTTGTTGGTCGGTGCAGAGGCCGTGACGAGGACTGCACCGCCGTACATAACAGTGACAAAGTTCTCGGCTGTGTTGTCTTGCAGGAGACTCTGGAGTTTGCGTTGGAACTCGGCGATCACATCTTTCTCGTCGTCCTCGTTCACATCCTTGGCGTTGAGGTACAGCTGGCCTCGGAAGAGGCGGTCGTCGCCCTTGAGCATCGCGACGCCGTGCTGGAACTTGTCAAACATGGCATCAATGTCCTTGTCAAAGCGCATCTCGATGCGAAAGACTGTGAGATGCGCGATGGCTGCGTTGAGGATCGAGAGAAGCGTGTCTTCCTGAGCACTGCGCTCCATGGACCCGAGACCTTCAAAGTCCAGTACGACAACGAGACCGGCGCTCGATCGACAGAGCGTGAGCCAGACGCCGTTCGTGCAGCGTCCGCCCGCGCTCGCAAACGAGCTGCCCGTGAGATGATTGAGAAAGTACGACTTGCCCGTCGACTGCTTCCCCATGGACGTAACGACGACGACCGGAAGTGTCGATGCCTTGAGAATGTGGCTCACGGCGCCGAGGCTAATTTGCTGGGCCACGTCGTGCACTTCACCACACGCGTCATAGTTGACGGGGTTGCCGTGGCGCAGGAGCACGAGCTCGTTGTCGCGCGCGAGACAAATCGGCACCGGCACAAATCCAATGAGCGCGAAAAGCCAGTGCCCGAGGTCCATCGTCGGCCACGCGGCGTCGCCATCAAACACCGCAGTGTCGGCGAGCGCGAGTGACGAAATGTTCTTCTCAGGGTTCTTCTCGAGCTTTGCCAGCTTTTTCATGATGGCCTCGAGCAAATTGATGACGATCTTGCGGCGGTCGGGCGTCAACGACTGCACGTGCACTTGAAGCGTCGTCGGCAAGAGGTCCGTGCTTTTGTCCATCTCGGCGAGCATCGGGCGGACAGGAAATTTCTCAAAGACGTGGTAGAGCGCCGAGAGCATGTGGGTGTCGCTGGCGGACGCGGGCTCTGCCTTTTGCTCACAGTTGAGCTGCCAATCGACCTTGCCCGTCACGATGGTGACCTTGAGCGTGACCATCGTGTCGGTCGTCGAGTCCAACAAAACGACCACATCGCCGTACGCGCGGGCTTTGGTGGTACTCCAATTTAACGCCACGGGCAGCGTCATCTCGGCGTTGGGCAGCGGGTCGTGGCTCTGCACCTCAAGCGTCTCGAGGCGAAGACCCTGGCCGTCGAGTGGCACGAGCCGCACCAAGAACGCGCCGTTGTGGAGCATGACGAGCTTCGTGTCGGGTGTCGCAATGAAGCGCGGTGCGTACTTGGAGTGCTGTTGTGTGCGCAAAAAGTAGGACTGCGCACTGCCGTCGTCGCCCACGCACAGAATGCCGTGGTTGGCACCACCAAAGAGCGACATCGATGCGTACGGCTTCGACGGGCGCAAGCGGCTCAAGTCATAGTGGTGGGCTGGTTCCAAGAGCTTGAACGACTCGCTAAAGGCGTACATGACCACCGTCGACTCCGAGTGCTGAAGCGCGAGCAGACGATGGGACACGTCAAAGTCGCAGCGCTGCGCGAGTCGCGAGAACTCTTTTGTGATGAGCGCTTTCGCCGAGAGCGCCCCGTTCAATCGGTATGCGTGGACGTGCGTTTTGTCTCCAGACGTAAAGACGACGATCACCACACGCGTGACCAGCACGACGTAAATCACATTGGCGTCATGCGGCAGCTTGATCGACGCAAGCGGTGCACTGCCGATCGGTGTGAGCTCGAGCGACATCGCGGTACCGACAACGCGCTCCTGGGTGTACTTGAGGGTGCTGATGGTGCCAAAGTAGCCCGTGCTCGTCGATTCGAGCGTCGTGACGAGGGCCGTCGGTACTTTCTTTTCGTTGGTGGCCGCGACCGCCTCAAGAAATGCGTTGTGCACTAGCTCTTCTTGCTTTGCGCGCAAGATAGCTTGCAGGTCTTTTTTGCTCGCAAGGGCATTGTAGCACTGAATGGTGACGGGGTCGGCGACGCTCTCGCTCCAAAGGAACGCGCGGAAGCTGTGGCACCAGTCGTCATAGCGCGATTCCAGGTCGCCTCGAATGCGTGGCAGAATTACGTCCATGGCGGGCTTGTACTTGGCCTTGAGGTACGGGAACGTGAGGTGGCCCGTTTTCGACCAAGGAAAATACGCCGTCTTGGTCGTCTTCTTGGCAAGGTCTCCGTCGCGCTTGCACAAGTCTTCGTACGCGTGCTGGATGACCATCGCGACGCTTGCCGCCAATGACTCGGGCAGCGCGATCATGTCGCCAAGGCTGTACTCCAGCGCCTCCCACCTGTTCTTCAGGAGGGTTTGTGCGTCGACCTCGTCGGCTTCTGTCGTTGCCTCGTTCAAGTAAAAGAGGGTGGTTGCCGCTGCTACAACGCACGCCTCCATGTCTTCCAGCTGCGCGCGCGCTTTCGTCTCAGCCTCGGTATGCAAATCGGCCTTGAGGGATTCGATCGTGAGGCACGAGAGCGCCGCGGGCAGAGCGCGCATCTGTGCAAGCACCGCATACTTCCAGTCGTACGGCAGCTGCGCCTTGAGCTCAAAGCGGTACGTGGATGTGACAGTCATAAACCACTTGGCAAACTCGGTGGGCAACGAGACCTTGCTGAACGTGGTTTCTTTGCGAACGTCGCGGTCCTCGGACGTGCGCATAGTCACGGCGGTGGCGCCCGTTGCGCAAGCGAGCGTCACGTCCTTCGCCGTTGCTGCTACCGACACGAGCTCGCACGAAACGTTTTCCTCCACGACAGTTGCCTTGTTGATGGAAAACCTGACGGCGTGCTGCTTGCGCTTCGTCTCCTTGCGCGTCTCGACATCTGCCGTCTCGAGGGCAGGCCAGTCGGCTTCCTCGAGACACCAGCGCACGGTCGGCGTCAGCGTCGTTATGAAGCGGAGGGCATACGTCGCCTGCTCCCGCAGGTGCTGCGGAGTGAACGACGCGTCGAGAAGCCACGTAAAGAGGACGAGCTTGGGCCGGTCGCTCGTCTCGGGCACCAAAATCGCGTATACGCCTTCGTGGGCCGGCTGCAAGTACTCCTCGAGGTTCGACGGCCACCAGCCTTGGGCGCGAAGATCCGCTGCAACCGCTGCTTGCTTGCCAAAGCACGCAAGGACATCGACGCCCTTGGTACTCGTCTTCTGGGTGCAACACGTGTTGATAAAGAGTCCGAGTTGGCGCTCTTGCGTCATCGTGGCGTTCGCGTCGATGACCCCCAGCGCGCGAAGAAGGCGGAAGAGCTCGGTCTCGACGAGCGTTGGCTGGAAGATGTCGGACCCATCGTCGAGTCGGACGACAGTCTCAAGCAGATGGTAGCACGTGAGGCCCTCGTAGCTCGTCGCCACGCTCTTGTTTGCCATGGCGCGCTCTGCTCGATGGCAAATTGCTGAATGCGAGATACGGGCATGCCTCGACCAACCTGCATTCTGCGCTTGATAAATGTTTTGTTGATGAATCTTATCAAGTGGTTGCATTGACATGCGAAAATAATGCTGTGTATTGTTATAAACACTCGTATTACACAGTGTTTAAAACCATAAACAACAGTGTTGATACAAAGCGTCAACGCTGCCATGCTGCCCATCTGGAAGCTGAGCACCATGTCGAGGTCAACGCATGAAAGCCCGTACAACACCAACACTAAAGGGGTGCGCTTGAGCTAGCGATCCTACCTACTCGAAACAAGCTCTCGAAACTGATTCTGTCGACGCGTCGGCCAAGGCGACTGACGACGCTGACACCAGCTCTTACAGTACATCACACGGGTTATCTTGAGGTGCAAACGTTGTGCTTGTGTCGCTCAAGCCAAATGCGTTGAGATTATGGGCATGAAGCACGCGCCACGAAAGCTCTTCGCCGCTACAGTAGTGACAGGAGACAGTGTGCGAAGCACGATCCGGGACGAGTCAATCGTGGTTGATCGTCTTCTCCGCGTGCCAGCGTCGAATGCATCATATGTCTTCACTCTTTCTCAATATCAACCAAAAATAGACGCGACAGGCGGCGACTTGACAAGAACAACCGCCATGAAGTTTCCTTGGCTCGAGCTCGCCAAGCTGGCACGACCCCGGTCCCTCTCCGCGCCCGCCGAGCCTCAATGCGACGAGGTCAGCAATGATGCGCTAGGCTCATGGCTGCGTCAACCAAAGAGCCGAGATACTACCACCCAAGAGAATGAACTAGATGATGTGCAGGCCGAGCTGCTCATTGAAGCCGCCAAGGTCGGCAACGTCGACGAAGTCCGGCGACTCTGTGAGGTCGTGGGGGTTGACGTCGATATGCGCGGGTATATGGGCTGGACCGCCGCGCACTGGGCGGCGCGCCAGGGCCACGTTCACGTCCTCGAAGTGCTGCATCGCCTCGGAGCCAACTTGGACTCGCTCGACTGCCGCGTACTGCGTCGCATTCCGTTCTTTTTGTCTCAATGGGAGCTGGACTAGGGCGATTGCCTCTTGCACAAAGCAGCGGCCAACGGTCAGCTGCAAACATGCAAATGGCTCCTCCAGCACACATTCAATGTTCACGCAACCAACAAGCATGTGCGTACAACTTGAAACTTGACGGACATAGGAGGTATATTGTTCTCTCTATGTTAGGGCATGACCCCGCTCGACTTGGCGCGCGAGAAGGTTCGTCATGACAAAGATGCTACAACGGTAGCATGCGAAGCCCTTTTGGCCGACGCCGCCGAGTGCACGTTTTAACAAATAGGCAACATTTTCACATCATACATACACGATAACTCTATCGGAGATGCTTCTATACCCTTGCATGTATGTAGACCGGACGTTTTGAGAACGCCAACACGATGCAAACGTGCTATTAAGACTTGTTTAGTGTCTGCTGAGCAAATCTCTACTAGTATATTAGTACAGATTAAGTGTCGCAACTCGACGCATAATGTAGCTTTTTGAGGTCCTCAAGAGGCGCCAGTAACCGAGACGGGTGTTATCAAGTGTCAATAAACAGTTTATTCGCCCATGGTGTTATTAACGGCACCAGCATTGCTACTCGTATTTTTGTGAGTGCATTTCAGCGCCTGAGTTCTTCGTGCAACATGTTTCCAAGCAAGTTCGTACTAGTACATGCCACAAAACTTACCCTGTCCTGTATCAGTTGGGCCACAGGTCGCACTGTCAACCCGTAGTGGCCCGCAAAAATCACAAGATCCCAATCCCAGCGCTTGTAGATCACGGAGCCGTCAAAGATATTTCTGGTTCGTTGCTGTCAGCGCAAACGCAACGAATGATGCAAAAGAAACACATATTCAAGTTCATGACAAGGACACAAGAATGCACGCTACAGATGAACGCGAATCTAGTAGCCGGTACCACCGTTACCGGGGGTCACACTGCCAGGCGCAACCGTCGGGGCGCCAGTCGGGACCGTCGACGGGTTACCACCGGGCGTCACGCCGCCGTTGTTGGGCGTCGGGCCGGGTTTGCCGCCGGTGTTCGAGTTGATGTTAATGTTGGCGTTGGGGTTGACGTTGGGGTTGACGTT